ACTCCAACAGCACATCAATTATTATTATTATAATTATTATTATTATTATTATAACCCCCCCCCCCAGTATTTCCATCTGTACTGGGATTGAACCACAGACCTCAGTGTGTGAGTTGAGTGCGCCACCAGCCGTGTTACGGGACACCATAGGTGTATTTATACAAGTAATGAGTATGTTGGTGATTGATATAGTGAAAAGTAACAAATCAAGAAAGTGTAGGGAAAATTTTCTGGCACAGCCATGTGTTTAAAATTCATGAGGCTGTCAATGTATGCTATTTATATATGAACAATTGACCACCATGGGAGTCACAGATCTAACTAACAGATGTCACTAAATGAGTTACTGTATTTCCTGCATTCCAGTCAGTACATGCAGTGTTCTTATGTCCTTTGCATCATCAGGGCTAAAATGAGAGGATACTGGAAATAATGTTATGTAAATGAAGAGGGGCTCCAAGATTTATACAGTGGAACCTCTACTTACGAGTTTAATCTGTTCCCTGACCTTGCTTGCATCTGGATTTGCTCGTTTGTAGAGTAAATTTTCCTCATTTAAATTAATTGAAATGGAATTAATTTGTTCCAGTGGAATTCCAGGCACAACAAAATACTTCAATAATTTCCCGAATATCAACTCTGCGGCTTATTTATCTATCAAAATTCATCTAATATGACATAATAAACAATATTAATAACATAGGAGCATGATATATACACTAGAATGAATAAAATACATGTCATTACGTATGTGGCTAGTGGTGGTGTCAGCGGCCATTGTTGTTGAGGTTTATAGGGCTGCTTCATGTTGTCTGCCACTGCTGCTTCATGTTGTCTGCCACTGCTACCTCATAATGTCTGCTCTCACTTTTGCTAGCATGTTGAAGAGCTTTCCAACATGTGAAGGTTGAGGCGCAGTGCCAGTCAGACATCGCTAAAGAATCAAACATTTCTGCTACTTTGAGCTCAATTTCAAGGTACTTTTCATCGTGAAATCAATCAAAATCATATCTATTTTTGTAGTAAATCTTCCATTCTACCAAATGAGACCAAAAAAAAAAAAAAATGAGAATGAAACCATAAAAACCATACGAAAATGTACCACTAAGGGGAGACTAATGGCTGAGAAGTGAACTCCATTATTTATGGTCCGATTTCTTTCATTTATAGTGTACTTTAAGAAGCATCTTTCCATCATACATTGCCCAAGTTTCAAGCAACTGAGATCCAGTTCCCTAGATCAAGAGCAAGAGCCCTTCAGCAGCATCAAGGAACCTCCCTTGAGGCCCACTTACATCTGGAAATTTCGCTCGCGACTGGAAGCAAAAAATCAATCGAGCGACTGCTTGTACAATGGAACCTCTACTTGCGAGTTTAATCCATTCCATGATCTTGCTCGCAACTGGATTTGCTCGTTTGCAGAATCAGTTTTCATCATTTAAATTAATTGGAATGCAATTAATCCGTTCCAGTGGAATTCTGTTTCAATAATTTCGCTAATATCAACTCTATGGCTTATTTATCCTGATATATACTCTAGAATGAATAAAATATGTCATTATATGTGTGGCAGCGGTGGCGGCCGACGAGAGTTTGTCTGGAGACAGGACAAAATACTCCTTGGATTTTTCGCTATCATCAACTCTACGGCTTATTTATCTATCACAGTTCATCTACTATGAAATAATAAACAATATAAATAACATAGAAACCTGATATATACTCCAGAATGCATAAAATATGTCGTTATGTAACAGGTGGAGGCGGCCACAACCGCTCCCTCTTTGTTGCAGTAAACACTGCCATCTAGTGACGGCCGTTTGAAGTCTTCTATTATTATAATTATTATTATTATGTAGTACATTATTATTATTATATATTATTATTATACATATTATTATTATTATAGTATTATATTATACTATTATTATTATACATACATATTATTATTATTATTATTATTACTGTATTATTATTATTATTATGTTAAGAAGCATCTTTCCATCATACATGGCCCAAGTTTCAATAAGATAGTCCAACAAACAAATGAGATACAATTCCCTAGACCAAGAGCAAGAGCCCCTCACCAGCGTCAAGGCATCTGCCTTAAGGTCTGCTCACTTATGGAAATTTTGCTCGCGTATTAAAGCAAAAAATTGACCCATCGACTGCTCGTATTTGGAAAAACTCGCACGTGGATGCGCTCGCAAGTAGAGGTTCCACTGTATCTGGAAAAACTCGTATGTGGTTGCACTCGTAAGTAGAGGTTCCACTGTATATCCTTTACTGCCTTCTGTTTGCATAATCAGAGTTATAATGAGAATAAACTACATATACAGTGGACTCTCGGTTATTGGCCATTCTGCTTCTCTGCCAACTTGGTTATCGGCCGTTTTTTTGGCTTCCGGTTATCGGCCATTTTTCGGCTTCTGGTTATTGGCCATTACTTCACTTATCGGACGTATTTGACGCGTCCATCGCAAGCTGCTTGCGTGTTCCTGAGTCAGTGTGGCTGTCTCTCTGGGTGAGTGAGGAAGCTTCTGCTCATTCATCCAAACATTTTCGCTATAATCCATTGTTTTTGGTGGTTATTGATTAAGTGCAACTGCGAAATAAGTAACCATGGCCCCAAAGAAAGTTCCTAATAAAGTTCCTTTGGTAAAGAAAGTGAGAAACATGATAGAATTCAGGGCAGGCAGGCATAGAGGCAAGGAGTGTAGCAGGAAGGTAGGGAGTGTAGCAGGAAGGTAGGGAGTGTAGCAGGCATTCAGGGAGTGTAGCAGGAAGGCAGGGAGTGTAGCAGGAAGGCAGGGAGTGTAGCAGGCATGTGGGGAGTGTAGCAGGAAGGCAGGGAGTGTAGCAGGAAGGCAAGGAGTGTAGCAGGCATGCAGGGAGTGTTATTTTAGAGCCAGGAATGTCTGCATTATTCATCCTGGACCCTATTTTGAAATTGGCATATTTTTTAATTTGTGTGAAATTGGCCAAATTGCCAATTTCTGACCACTTTATTGGGTAGTTGAAATCGGTAAATGGGCAGTTTCTTGTACTCAATCGATAGAACAAATGGAGTCCTAAAGAAATAGCTATGAGTTTGGTTGATTGGAACAGTGGAATTAGCTGAAAAGAGGGCTCAAAGTGGGTGAAATCGCCAATTCGTAAATATCACTGAGGTCACTAACTTTGTGAGAACGTAATTCTGTAAGTTTTCTATCAAATTTTGTTCTTTTGGTGTCATTATCATTGGGAAAAGATTCTCTGTCATTTCATAAGAAATTTTTTTTTTTTTTTTTTTTCAAATAGTATTTTGCAACACCAGACACCATGGCACTGTTGTAAAAACAGTCAAATAGGTGGCTGTTGATGGAGCTCCTGAACATTGGAAATATGACATAGTTACATGAGCTACACTCAGTGGCTGCCCATTTTTTCTTTGCTCTACAGACTACACCTACCATCCGACTTACGACCGAGTTCGGTTCCGAGAAACCGGGCGTAAGTCGAAATGGTCGTAAGTCGAACTTTACTACTGAATATCAACAAAACATTTTTGTAATGACTTTATTTTATTGTTTTATTTTGGTATTTCATGTTTTACTTTACTTTTTATGTTGTTAGTACTGTATTTTATACTGTAAAGTTTAGGATAAACACTGTGTACAACACAAATAGTTGTTTATTTCCCAGAAATTTGGCATAAAAAACACGGTCGTAAGTCGAGTGGTCGTAAGTCGAGCAGGTTGTAAGTCAGATGGTAGGTGTATTTTATCATCTTTTATATTATACAGTATTTATAGTCTTTCCATTATAGCCTAACTTAACCCAACCTAACCCAATCTTAACTCAAAAATGGGTTGGAAACCATATGTGAAAGTGTGATATGGTTATTAGGAAGATGGGTTGATAAATGACTTTCATATTCTGAGTTCACAGATTCTTCTCCTGTTTGAGAGAGATTTCCACCAATATTTATATACCCCAGCTTCTCTTCATCTGCATAATCAAGGTTAAAAAGTGGGAGGAACCTGTATATAAAGTGTATATAGTACCTACTTCATTTACAGTGTGCATCAGTTTAGGTGCAGTGAGGAGGAGGCTGAGGCAGTGGAGATGTCATGTTTGAGAGCACTGTGGGGTGAATTTTATGCATAGAAATCTGAGAGCAGAAATAAGAATTTGGAGTGGGGCTACCAACGGTATAATTTAGAAAGCTGAGAACAGGTTGTTGAGGATGGACCTTCAGTATAGGACTACCAAGAGGGTGTACAACTCTGGGTGGAAGGAAGAAGGGTAGTGGTTGTCCTATGAAGGGTTGGAGGAACAGTGTAAAGGTTTTGAGTGCTAGGGCCTTGAGCAAGCTGGTGTAAGCATTTTAGATTGGAGTGAATGGAGAAGAGTTGTTTTTATGGCTTGGTGTGCTATTGGAGTGTTGAAAAGGTAACATTTGTAAAGGGATTCAAGTATGTTAGTTAAAAGGATTTGAATCATGAAGATTTAAATTGTAATGTCTGCACACTTCTGGAACGATAGTTGTTGAATGAGTGTGCTGAATGTATTTCCTTTTTAGGCCACTCTAACTCAGTGGGAGACAGGTGATGTGTTAAAAAATATGTAATTACCATTCAGCATTCATTGGTCCAGAGTGCTAATGTTGTAAATGCAAAACATTGTAATTTGGGGACCAACTATATATATACATTTTTTTTTTCAACAACCCGGCCGTATCATATGCAGTTAAAGAGGCCTAACCTTCAAGTGTATTCTTGCATAGACCAAGAAATATATATCTGTTCAGGGAGTACCTATTGGATACTGATAGGCCATCCCAGTAGTTTAGGTACACTACAGTATCTTCTTTACTGAACACACTAATGTAAAAATTTCTCTCATATCTTGTAGCACTGTATGGCCCCTAGGCTTAGGAGTTTAGTACAGTTTTGTGAAATAAGAATAATAATCCATGATAATCATAAAAATACTTTTTTTTTTTTTGTATCAAACAGTTCACATAAGGAAAAAATGTCTTCTACTACAAAAAAGAAGCATGTGGAACGTGAGCTGTGCGAGGATTTTAGCCTTCCAGGTGAGCACCAGTCAATTGTCAGAGTAGTCAGACCTCGTGGCAATAACTTGCATCAGGTATGTAAATACATTATGTTAAAAGTATTTTATATTTTGTAGCAGTTTTGTTAATAATACATCATAAGCAATTGATGATATTTTATTGAAATGATGTTTCATTTGCCTAGAAAGACAAAACATCTCACTTGAATGCCATAAACCACTTTTGTGTGTTGTTAACTTAAATACTTGTCGATATATTCTACCATTGATTTAGTGTTGTAGCAGCTTATAATATGTGGAATTTTCCCTGTTTCTGATCAGTTTAATAAATTTTATTCATACTGTATTACATTAGGTTGCATATGTAATCAAACATATTTTACTTGCATATGTTATATCATATCATTATATTATCTACAAAAATTTACAAGGCAATGATTAATCTAAATCCTAGTCATGCATTAGTTTTTACCTCTTAATGCATAATCTTTTCATTTTTTTTATCCCCAAAAAGTGTAAAATCTTTTCCTTTACGTCTATTTTTTTAAATTTCCCATTCATAATGTTTGCTAATTTTCTATGCACTAGTGTTATGCCTAAATTTTTAAACATATCTTGTAGGCTTAAATATAATATTAGAAATTTTCATCCCCAAATCTCCAAGGATAACATACAACAAAAACATTGTTTTTCATTTAATGGTAAATAATATCATCTTTTCTACTCTTGTTGGCCGAAAATTTCTTATACAGTAGGGCTCCACTTATACAGCAATTTAGGTTCCAGGCTACCCCTAGAAAGTGGACATAGCTGGAAAACAGAACGCCATTTTTTCCACTTATAAATACGTAAATACAAATGCCAGACAAGTTTTCACTAACACATACATGTATTATGCTGACAGTAGAACTAGGCATTAAAAAACAATAAAACATCAAATACATATGCAGTACATTCATTACTTAAATTATTTGTAGTCTTAATGTAGGGCGAGAGGTGAGTAGATTAAGACACATGTGCAACATCTGGGTATCTTTATTGTAGACGTTTTGCCATCCAGTGGCTTTATCAATACAAATTCTGGGACATAACTTGAAGACAGTAGAACTATGTACAGAAGATGAGGTAATCAGTCCCTCAACCTAGGAGTAGGTGCGAAGAGCACCATAGTCGTGGAGATTCAGAATCTCCACGACTATGGTGCTCTTCGCACCTACTCCTAGGTTGAGGGACTGATTACCTCATCTTCTGTACATAGTTCTACTGTCTTCAAGTTATGTCCCAGAATTTGTATTGATAAAGCCACTGGATGGCGAAACGTCTACAATAAAGATACCCAGATGTTGCACATGTGTCTTAATCTCATCTTGTCGGTATTATATACCATTCGTACACAACGAGAGGTGAGTAGTACAGTGGAGCCCCGGATTGTGTCCGGTGCGGATATAGTACAATTCAGATTTCGACCACTTTTTGGGGTGAAATTTTACCCCAGGTTTCATACCTCCACTCAGAAATTGTCCACACCATACGCATCCACCTGGGCCGCTCATACGTTCGTGACACTAACACGTAATAATAATCACTCTTGGGCACGTTAAATGTCTTATTTTAGGTTAATATGGATATTTTCATTAATTCATCTATGGTATTATCAAAATTATATAAGAAACACGTTACATAACATATAAACATGCCTTTGTTACTCGTTCACTAAGAGTGTCCCTCTAGTCTTAAAGCCATAGTAATAATACTGATACATAATAATAATCACTCTTGGGCACATTAAATGTCTTATTTTAGGTTAATGTAGACATTTTCATTAATACATCTATGATATTTTCTTCAAAATTATATAAGAAACATTAAAATTAGTCATTTATATTTATTTCTCATTTTGTCTGTATGTAAAACTACAGTTATTCTCTATAAAATGTATTTTTTGTTAATATTTTTGGGTGTCTGGAATGGATTAATTGGATTTACATTATGTATTTCTTATGGGAAATATTACTTTGGTTTTCGTCCATTTCGAATTTTGACTGACCTTCTGGAACGGATTAAGGATGAAAACCGGGGTTCCACTGTACTTATTTGTAGGAAGTCAGGTGTAGGTAGCCCTGGCTCCCTGTCCCAAACTTAGTATACGATATTTAAAGCAGCCCAAAGAGATAAAATACACATACAATACACTCATTATTTACCTTTAAATATGTGTAGTCTTAATTAATGTAACATGGAGGTGAGTAGTATTTATCTGTAGGAAGTCAGGTGCAGGTAGCCGGTAGATGTAGTTATGTCGTCCACCTGGGCTATGTAACTACACCTATCCACATAGCTGTATGATATTTAATGTGGCCTAGAGCCATATTATTACCATCGACATGCCTTGTTCACTTAGTTTAATAATTTTTAAGAACTACCTTTAGATGCCATCATAAACAAAGGGAGAAGTAATGAAAAGAATTCATGCTGAGAATTGTAAACAAAGCGGAATGTGTTATGATGAGTGACTGGGCCAAACGCAGATTAATGCGGTTTTTCTTGTTCTGGACCAGAGAAAACGTAATGTTTTCCCTCTACCCGGCTACCACACCTCTTGTTTATGTGAATTTATTGTACTGTAGGTGTATGTATTATGTTTATATGCTATGTAATGTGTTTCTTATATAATTTTGAAGAAAATATCATAAATGGATTAATGAAAATGCCTATAATAACATAAAATAAGACATTTAATGTTCCCAAGAGTGATTATTACGTATTAGTATCATAACTATGGCGATAAGACTAGAGGGACACTCTTTGTGATTTTAATGTGTACCTGAATGCCAGCACAGTGTGTAAGTATATTTAGGTACAAGTACAGGTACCATCTGACTTACGACTGAGCTTGGTTCCGACCAACTTGTCGTAAGTCAAAATGGACGCAAGTTGAACCTTACTACTGAATATCAACATCACATTTTTGTAATGACTTTATGTTATTGTTTTATTTTGGTATTTCATTTTTTACTTTACTTTTTATGCTGTTAGTACTGTATTTTATACTGTAAGGTTTAGGATAACCACTGTGTACAACACAAACAGTTGCTTTTTTCCCAGAAATTTGGCATACAAAACACGGTCGTAAGTCGAGTGGTTGTATGTTGAGCAGGTCGTAAGTCTGACGGTAGGTGTACATGTAAATAAAATTATCGGAGTACATATAAAATATGCAATAACTTGAAATTCTGGAAAGTTTCCAGACATAATGGAGATGTGCTCACGAAGAATGGGGCACAGTGACCATATTAGAAAGACAGGGGGAGCCATATAGCGAGTTTTGGTCATAATTTGAAATGTCTGTATTTGTGAAACACCATAAAGTGAAATGCCGTAAAGCGAAATCCTGTAAAGTGGGTCCTTACTGTGTATGTGTTGATCAGTGTAGTCAGTACAGTTGAGAATCCTTTATCTGAAATGCTTGGGACTGAAAATGTTTTGGATTTTGGACTTTTTCAGATTTTGCAATGTAGTAGACTATCATTTAGCACGAGTTTCTTTGGCACGATTTGGGTATAGCATGATTGAAGAATTGAGGCACAATTTTATGTATCGCGTTGTAAGATGACTTTAACATGGTTCAGTTTGCGGGAAGGAAAAAAAACTTCCCTTATCCTCAAGTGGCTGCCTTGTTGTGGATCAGCAGGGGAGACCTCTCGTTGTCCCCAGCCACCCCCCAACACCACCCCACCATCCCAGCATTCATACTTCATACATGTCCAGTCCAACTTCTCTGCTACAAGCTTGTGATTATGAATTGTGTTTTGATCTTTTAATTGCTATATCTTGTATCTGCCAAGCAATCATGACACCCAGTAGCATACCAGTGTTGCTCAAAGTGGCAAGAAAAGGTGTAAGCATTTAAGTCTTAGAATTAACGAAGGAAACAAAGATATTAGACAAGACATCCTGTGGCCATAATGAAGTGTTACTTTGTACACATAAAAAAGAGGTAAACATAAGTTTGTGTGACTGGCTGACTTACTGAATGACCAAATAACTGACTGAATGGCTGACTTACTGAGTAGTCTTTCAGTAAGTCAGTCATTCAGTCAGTTATTCAGTCATTCAGTAAGTCAGCCAGTCACACAAACTTATGTTTACCTCTTTTTTATGAGTACAAAGTAACACTTCTACCTTCAATATTCAGTGCATCATGATAGATTTTTGCTTGTTTCATGATCAGCATTCTGTTAAGTGGCTTACATGTACTTACTCTGACATAGACAAATCCACTCCATCAATACACGATCGAGACCTTCATTTTTTCTTCTCTACAGTGTTCTCCTATTTTTTCATTAACTTCTGCTCATCACTTTCAGCATAGAACTTCAATAATTTGTCCTTTTGTTTCTTTAGGTCATAGTGGTTGTTCCAATACCTAACTCCTCAGTCAGCTGCTTCCTTTTCAACATTTTCAGCAAAATCTTCACACCACAAAATACAAAACACGCTGGAATCACTGAGTAATTGATGTTGTCAACAGACTGGCACTACTACAAATATGAAGCATGTCTGTCTTAGCTCACCAGATGGAGGATTGAACTTCCACCACATTTTGTGCTGAATGATCCATTTGTGGTGCATTACGTCTACACTCAAAAAACTTTTGAATTTTGGAAGTTTTTGGATTTTGGAATTTCGGATAAAGAATTGTTCGCTTTTTACTCTCTTTTTTCATTCTTTCCCTATTCTCTTCCAGCAGTGTGTTGCTTTTCTTCCATTTTCCTGTTCTGCAATCTATACTGGATTGACACTTGATGTGCTTGTGTAGAGGATCATCATATATTTTATCAACATAAGTTATTGTTATTCAACAGGTAGTAACAGCTGATGGGGAAGAATTCTTAGCCTCTATGCCTCTTAAATTTCGCAAGCATGTGTGGATCAAACGAGGAGATTTTGTTGTTACGGAACCAATACCAGAGGGAAACAAAGTCCGTGCAGAGATTGTTAGAATTTTGATGAAAGACCAAATACATTATATAATGCAAAATAACAAATGGCCTTCTGGATTTGTTGAACACAGTGATGAGGAAAAAGAATCAGCTATCCTTGATAGCCTTGAAAGATTCAAAATGACTAAGGCTAGTGAAAGTGACACAGAAAGTGATGATGACCTCTTAATGGAAAATACAAATAGACAAATGGTTTATGTGGAGGAATCTGACAGTGGTGATTCTGATGATGATGAGAATCTTAATGATGACATTAAATAATTAGTGCACTTGAACATTGTTATGTGCACTCATATTTAGTAAGTTTCTAAATTGTACAATTTGCTCTAGGGAAATTTTTTTAATTGTTCATATTTGTTACTACAGTAGATCCTTGAATAATGTGTTCCAATAACATGTTTTCATTAAGAATAAAAAGGGCACAATACTGTGAGTGGAACAGTACACAAATAACCTGCACATAGGAGACTGAAACTTATGACATTTTGGTCCAACTTATTCCATTAACTAGTCACTGAAACAACATCATAAGTTTGTCTCCTATTTTTGTAATGTTTCATTAAATTGTAATTTAAATTTTGCTACCCAATTTCTAGTAACATGGAAGTACAACTATATAACATGTCTTAGGCTTATACAATTGTTGGATATGTTGGTGATTAATAGTAAAATGTGAAAATGTCATTAAATGAGAAAGTGAAGAGATTATCTTACAGCACCTCCATGAAAAATATCTTTCATTGCTTTTAATAACCAACAACAAAAACACCTGCCACGCTATTTTTTTATTGTACAGTGCTACTGCGCTTTTTTTTTGTTAGTACTTTCTCAAGTACAGTGGAACCTTGATTTTTGTATGCCCTAGTTTGTATGTAAAACTATAGTTATTGTCTATAAAATGTATTTTTTGTTAATATTTCCCATAAGAGATATTGTCACACATTTCCACATCAAGAAACAACAAGTACAGCATACAAAATGGAAAATTTAGCTTTTTTTGACAAATTATGAAACTTAAAAAAAACTTTCTTGGATTTTTCAAAGTATTAGTAAGTTATTTTTTTTTTTTTTTTTTTTTTTTTTTGACATAACATGCCACTTTCAGGAACATAACATCATGTTATTTGAGGGTCTGCTATATTTTGTTCTCTATTTATTTTTGTCCATAATATTTTGTCACATTCCAAACTACTCTTGTTCAAATTTTGGCTATCAACTCAACCAGAGCTGTGGACCCAGTCATCAGCTGGTATATCTGGTATAAAAGTCAGTCAACCTTGAATGGAGATACAAGTGCTTGGAATTATTTAGTGAGGTCTTTGTCTTGTAAACCTGTATTTATCACTGATTGCCAAGCAGTCTTAACTTTTTATAATCAAAAGCATTATTCTTCACCTTTATTATATAATGCTGAGTGATAAATCACATAGAGATAAAATGATTGTTCAGTCAGATATATATTGTTGATTCAAGAACTGAGTGTTAATGAGTAAACCTTGCATGCTTGACCATGAATTCCATTTTATACCACTGATTTTTGCTCATAATTGTAATGTTATGCCTATATGCTGATGCATGAGAGAATATGAGAGTTAAGCCAGATGTAATGTTATGCCTGTATGCTGATGCATGAGAGAATATGAGTTAAGCCTGATTAACATTTAGTTGCCTGAGTGTTCATGTTAAAATCTTGAATATTTCTTGTGATATTAATTTATACCTCTGATAATCTACTCAAAATTATATCACACCTATTATATGTGCTGGTGCTTTATAAGAGACACTAATGAATGAGAGGTAAAATTAGTCTTAAACCAAAGAATCTCCAAGACACAAAAAGAAAAGGTGTTGGTTTAGCCATGATTACATTGGACTACATGCAGTTAACATCAAGAGCCTGGCTGATAAGCCTTACAACCAGAAGACCTGGTCCTGAATTGGACCACAGTGGTAGTGGCCCTTGGAACCATCACAAATCAGGTGTAGTATGTACTACATGAGAAATCACTTGGAGAAAATCATGAAACTTAACTCTATTTCATCCTCAAAGATCCTCTTCAACATAAAAAAATTCAGATATCTTTTACCTGTGTTTTGTGTTTCTGTTCATGTGGTTTCTCACTTTGCATCAGGCAGTGTTTACAACACTGAAAACTAAGCGAACGAACAAGTAGGAAGGCATATATGCTTTAGTTATGTACTTATGACTGCTAGGTATTACCTCACATGATGTGGTGTATAATCATGTACATTGTGCTGTATTTGGAAGAGAAGACAAATATAGATACACTAGGACCCCAACTTGCGAGGTTCCAAGTTATGGAGTTTTGTACTTATGACATAAGTATTTTGGAATCAATTAATTACTTAACCCTTTCACCGTCGAAAGCCTTGCTCACAAACTTGCTACTGTGTATGATAATCTATGTAACTGTATTTGTGTATGCCTGAATAAACTTACTTATTCTTTGAGACATGGTAAAATATGAGTTTCCTCTTTTGCTATGGTACAACTGAACATGAAGGAGATGGCCCAGCACCAGAGGTGGAAGGTTGATGGTCGTCTGGGTTTTGAGCACGAATTTCTGGTATCCCTGGCATTGCTTTCGGTCACAAACTCCTCAAAACCATGAAATTCATCTTCACTGACACTTTTATTTATGTTAGAATTATCACTTGGGAAGGGAAGAGTCCCAGTTCACTGGAGAGTGAGGTGTTCCTTACCACTACGCATGGTGAACAAGGTGTACTGAATTGGCACTCCCACAATGCACTGCGGCCTCCCCGATTTTTTTTATATTGCGCGCACTGACAACGCAGACCCATTCTCTCACATGTAGGTCTACCAGCTTTCTCTTGCTAGATTTGAAGCTGGTAGAATTTTGGCATAATACTAGGGCACCAACACTGGCTTGCAAGCCGTAATATCATGGCACCGACAGTGAAGAGGTTAACCTTTAAACTGTCCAAACGTAGATCAACGTTCACTCGCCCAGAACCCTGAATATTTTGAAATTTTTTTTTTTTAAACGAAGATGGCATTATTCTACATGTTATAAGATAAACAAATTTTAGGATCAGTACTTACTGAGATATAAGCTCACGAAGTTGGTGCTGGATGCTCACCTGACGGCAACATGGAGTCCTGCTGCTTGCAGAAGTGTTGCTGATATACCTTGTTTTCTCATTTTTATATTATTTAATATAATTTTTATGTTCTGACAATTACAATTTATAGTAGTTCTTGTGATTTCATAGCCAATCTTTGTTCTGACACTAATATTAGGTACTGAAATTGTACTCAAATAGTCTCAGACACACTGACAGGTGAACATTTTCACCTGCATTGGTCATTTACTATTGTGTAGAAATATATACAAAGTATTTATAGGTCCCAGCATTGTTTTAGACATGCTGGAGTATATATGAAACTCCTTGAAGCATGGTGTAAGACTGAATGTCACTAAACTGCTGACAATGCAGCAGTGGTTTGACACTTGATAATCGTGCATTGCTGCAGGGAATCCTTGGCTTTGTTTGTTTTTGCTGTTACACATAAACATGTCTGTCTGTCTATCTAGCTCTGTCTGCTTATCTGCCTTTGTCTGCCTGTGTGTGTCTGTCTTTCTGTCTGCCTGTGTGTGCCTGTCTTTCTGTCTGCCTGTGTGTGTATTTTTCTGTCTTGTCTCTGTCTCAGAGAGTGGCTCTTGAACCAGCAGTTATTACACACGATGCAGTCACGTCTGATTCCTGATCAAGTGAACATGCGTATTACTTGCCAGTCATGCTTATTATGCCTTATATCTACAAGCACAGTGTATAGTGCTGGATTTTTTGGGTTATCTTAGGTAATTTACATTGTGTATGATAACTCTACTTATGTGTACCTGTGAGAGAGAGAGACAGACACACAGTCACAGAGACAGATGAAGAGACAGCCAAAGTCAGTCAGCCAGCCAGCACCCCACCCACCCAGCCAGCCAGCCGGCTTGATGAATACATATTACACATGTTCCAGAATCGTTTCTCTTTACTTAGGGCATAGGTTATAGGACATTCTAGCAGGATGGCACTATCAGTGGTATAAAAAATGAAAGGATGTTACACAAATGTTGTGCATAGGTTATTATCAAGGTTTTTGATATTTCCTCGATCACTTGTGGCCACATCCATCTTAAAACCACTAAACTTTGGATCAATATTGCTTTCCTCTTCAAAGGAGTGTTAATACAACATGACATCAGTGAATCCCTGGTGTTTGCCACGCTATTTGCTCTAGCTGGCACTCAACTGAACTGGTGCTCCCACACAGTACTAAGTGGTCTTAGATTTTTTTAATATTGTGCACACCAAGTGTTAAGACGCATTCTATACTGACCAGGCATCTCGGGCCAATCTTACCAAATTTGGAGGCAGGAAAAATGAAATGTACATCTACGTTTGGAGCACTAGCAGTACAAATGTAGATCTACGATTGGACATTTAAAGGGTTAAGAGCAATGACTCTCTCTTCCGACAATGGGACAGCTATTATATTAAGTACAAATTATAAATGTATTTTTCCTGTTTTTTTTTTTTTTTTTTTTTTTTTTTTTTTTTATCAGATTCATTCAAACTGTTTACAGCATGTTCATTGTATGCATGGATGGAGAGCTCATGTTTATTTGGTGAAGATTGACCAAGAACCAATTATTCAGTATTTATGCTGTTAGTACATCAGTGGTTGGCATGTATGTTTGGAGATATGTCAGTAGTGTGTTGCTACATTTTCTATATGATAATTACACAGTGGGAGCTCATACAAAGTACAGTAGATTATCAGTCAAAACTGTTTCCTTTAAAACTTTTTCTCCATTACACTATTGTCAAATTGCAGCACATTTTCGTTTTAAACTTCGTAAAATTCAGTTTAAGTGGTTCTGCTTCTCGGTAGGGAAGAAATCTCAACGTCGCAAGCTGGACGGCAGGGATCTTTCCCTATGTAGTGAGTGCTAGGCAGTCTGCCTGTGAGTCAAGCCATTGTCTCTTACAGGAGAAGCCCTAGTTTCCTACCATGCCACCTCCGTACCAGTGCTTGGTATATGTGCGTCCAGTGTGGTACCCAGCATTGTCTGTGAATCAAGTTTTGGTCTTTTCATTACCATACATTGCCTCTGAAAAAGGGACCATGACACCCAGGAGGCATGCAAGTGATGCAGGAAGTGGCAGACAAAGTAAAAAAAAAAAAAGTTTCTCTTGGAATTACGAAGAAAACTGAGATATTAAATAAGCTTGAATATGGTGCCTGTGTAGTGGCATGGCCTTAATGAAGCATCATTACATATGATTAAAAAGAGTGAAGCAAATATACAGGCTTGTGCAATGAATAACCTGGGCTGCCGTCTGGTTTACTGACTTGACTGACCTACTGAATGATTGATTTATTGAATGACTTAACTGATATACTGAATGACTTACTGATTGACTGACCTGATTTACTGATTTCACTGATTTACTGAATGACTGACTTATTGACTGACCTGATTTTCTGAATGACTTGACTGAGTTACCAAATGACTGGATTGATTTACTGAATAACTTGACTTACTGACTTGACTGATTTATTTAATCATAACTGATTTACTGAATTACTGACTGACCTACTGACTTGACTGATTTACTGACTTGACTGACATATTCACTTGACTAATTTACTGAATGACTTGGCTGATTTACTGAATGACTTGACTGTTTTACTGAATAATTTGACTGATTTACTGAATGACTTACTTGACTGACTGATCTACTGACTTGACTGATTTATTGAGTAACTTGACTGATTTACTGACTTGATTGGCATACTGACTGACTGACCTGAATGACTTTACTGACCAGAATGAGTGACCTACTGAATTGAATGACCTACTAACTCACTTGATTGGACTGACTGTCTTACTGGACTACCATCCACCTCAGCCCAGATGGGCCTCAGCATGCCTCTCCACTCCCTCCTTCACAATCATCAACAAACACCAGCAACCACAATTTAAGGTAAGACATATTATTTCTGTTGCAGATGTAGCCTTGAACAACAGAAAAAACATACATAACAATTGCATTATTGTTTTTATTTAATTAAGTAAGATTTGGAGAACTAAAAAAAATTGTTTGGCTTTTTTGGGGGTCCCAGAAACGTAACCCAATTTGTAGATGAATGGTTCGTAACCCAATTTTTCCCATGAGTTCTTCAGTTCCTTTAACACGGATTCGTCTAACACTGCATTTTCAGGAACCTAACTACTGTCTTAATCGACGGTTTACTGTATTGAAATCTGCCAGTCTGAGCTGGGAGACTTCAATGGGGCTATGCATATAAGTGGCTTTGGCATGCTGCTCTTACCTGTATTTTTTGTACCTCTGTTTGTATGCTAAAATTTCTAAATAAATAAATAAATAAATAAATAAATGCTCTTCCCCCCCCCCTTCCAGTCACCACTACTAGCTGTGTCATGAACATGTTCAGGAAACAGTTGTTGTTTGGAAACTGCTTCAAATATCCAACTAAACATAATGATCAATAGTTCTCTTATTGCAGGGCACACTGAGGGCAGATTCTTAGGTCTACTCCTTGACAACAGCTTGAAATTCATTGAATCAGTTTCAAATAATAAATCATACTTTTAAAATTGTGCTTTTCATACATTAGGTGCCTTTTTTGTTATGCATATAATTGCAATTAATAGGTTAAGAAATTCTGCTTAACAGAAGATCATTGAATCGATTTGAAATAATAAGTCATACTTACAAAAATTGTACCATTGTTCATTTAACTGCCATTCTTATTATTCATATAATAATTGTAATTAACTGCATAAAAAAAATCCTACTTAATAATCTGTCTAATTCTTAAGTAGATTTTGAGCATTAGGATTAGTTTGCCCGAAATGCATTCCATACCATTGGCTTTCTTTTGTATCTACCAGTGTTATACAGTGGAACCTTGGTTTTTATTTGCCCTGGTTTTCATCAAATTCGGTTTTTAATTACCTTTTTCGTCAAAATTTTGTCCCAGTTTTCGTTCATCACCTCAGTTTTCATCGAGTTGACAGTGGTCCACCATACTGAACGTGTTTGCTTTGTTTCTCATCAGTATATGGAGACAGTGATGGTGGTAGAGTGTGGTAGTGATGGTGGTAGTGTGTGGTAGTGATGGTGGTAGTGTGTGGTAGTGATGGTGGTAGTCATGGTAGAGAGTAGTAATGATGGTGGTAGAGGGTGGTAGTGATGGTGGTAGAGGGCAGTACTGATGGTGGTAGAGGGTGATAGTGATTGTTGTAGAGGGTAGTACCGATGGTGGTAGATTGTGGTACTGATTGTGGTAGAGGGTGGTAGTAGTTGTGATGGTGGTAGAGGGTGGTAGTGATTGTGGTAGAGGGTGGTAGAGATAACCTCTCCTCCCTCTCCCCTCTTCACGTCTTCCATACGCCAACAAGAG